GCCCTGCCCCTGCAACCCCCTCCCTCCATCCCCTGCAGGGTGGGCAGGCTAGCTTTGCCCAAAGCTCTCTGATTCAGCCCAGCAGGGAGGCTCTACCGCCTCCTGTCTTCTGGCTTGGGCCATCACAAACATGTGGCTGCACAAACATCACAGACATGAATTCTGGAACCAAAAGTGATTCACTTGCTTATTGATTCAATCTACACTGCTTAGCATAACTTACGAAGACTGAATCGATTCAGCATCGGGCTTTTTGACGGTCTATACTAGCCTTTGGGAAAGGCATATGCAGGATCCATGGATTCTGATGCGTTTGTTGTGGGAGTGTTGACTGTCATAGCAGCAGATATGCGTCAACAGGTTTTGCATCTATTGTTAAAGAGAAGCTGTATCTGATTTGGTTATGTAAAAGGGGCGAATAAAAATTAACTTCCAAATGCTATGAAGTTGTGAGTCACTAATCTGCTGATTTCTTTCAATACAAATAACTTAATTTTAATATTATAATACAAAATAATCCAATTGTAATTACCACTGTTATTACAAAAGACACTGGGCATTCCAGTCCTGGAACAGACCCCTATCCTGTTAGGTGTACAATGGTTTTCATCTGTAAATCTCAAACATCAAGGTAAACATGGTAAAAATGCCATGTTACCACACTATAATTGCAAAGGAAAACCATAAAAGTGTTTTGCAGCGGATGAGGGACATTTCTCCTGTTCCCTGTTTGATATTTCCTTGCCTGGCTACATGGAATTAAAACAGAGAGACAGTGAAAAGGAGCAAGCAGGAAAACAAATATATGCTGGAAATAAGGTCCTTGGAGAATGGAACAACAGCCAAGCCACAAGCTGAGGATATGTTTAATTGTTGGACCCTATCTAGCCTTACAGGTTTACAATTCCCAGACCCAAGGTTCAAAACTTGAATTAGACAAATTCATGGAGGACATGTCCATTGGGAGTTATTAACAGAACAGTCAAGGGATGTATCCTTGGACATCCCTAAATCAATGACGGTTGAGGCCAGGAAGGGTATGACAGGGGATAGACATTAGAGCTATGCGAAGCTTCGGTCGCTGATTTGATTTGGAGGAGATTTGGTGGCTGAATCTCCAAATCTGAATCAAATCAGGAGACCCTTTAATCTCTCTGAATTGAACTGGAACCCTCCAAACCAGTTTGAAGAGATTCAATGATTCGGCCACAAACACAGCTTTAAATGCTTTTTTCTATATACCTTGAAGTAACAGGCAGTTCGTGAATGCCGAGATGCTGGGGTGGATGGAGCGTCCCACAGAAGCAAGGCAGCGGACCTGGTACTTCCGGTCTACTCCTGAGTCTGCTGTGCAGTGTGCAGGAGACCCTGCCCCCTGGCTCAGCAACTGGTGCCTCCTTGATCACCGAGCTGGGAGGGGGGTGCAGGGGTTCTGCTGCCAAGCATGTGGGGAGGGGGGGCACGCTCCTGTAGGATGCTCCACCCGCCCCACCATCTCAGCATTCACAAGCTCCGCCTGGTACCTCGAGGTATGTAGGAAAAACATATAAAGTCTATGGCTGAATCACTGATTTTCCAAATCAAAATTGAATCTGAAGATTCAGACAAATCGAATCGAGATAGTGATCCGAACCAACAAATCTGATCACTGTGCCCCCCCGAATTGGACCAAATCCAAATCCAATACTGCCCACTTCGCACACCCCTAATAGACATGCCCTGTTCATATACTCTCCTTCCAAAGCATCTCATACTTGCCACTGTCAGAGACAGGATACTGGGCTAGATGGACTGCTGGTCTGACCCAGTAGAGCCTGACTTGTGGTCTAAGGGCCATTAAGCCCAGGTGCCTGGACACTTGCATCCGAGTTCTCCAGGAAGTAACAAAGTTTTCATTTACATTCTAGGCAGACCTACGGATTTAAATAATTCAATAAGTTCTTCTACTGCAACGAGACAATCCAGTAATAATGGTAATAACAATTCGATTATTTTATACACTGCCATCTGATTTAATAACATCTTATTCCTGCTTAAGTAATACTAGCAACTGCAATGAAACGAGCCCACTTTAAGATTCTTGTGAAGGTCCTGGCCTAAAGAGGAACAGGATGAGTGGATAGCAGCTGCTGGACAGGATTTTCTATCAAAGAGGGCACCAAAACACAGGCTGGACGCCTGCTGATGTGTGCTAAATCGGCACATGTTGAAGCAGATTAGACCAATTAGCATGCTCTATCAGCCTCGGCATCACATGTATTCAGCATCCCCATGCTTCAAAATGGTGGTGGGGGTATGCAAGAGATGCTGCAGGTGCTTTACTTAAAGCACCCTGCCCTGGAGCACGTGCAAAAACACGGAGAGATACTAAGGATACAAGGGGGCTCCTAGAGACAAGAATAAAGTTAGCCAACACCCAGACACAAAGGCCTTTTGCTGTTTTATCCTTTGCTGCATACTGCTGGGTAAATAAACCATCCTTTATTATAAAGAAGCTATTTTGAGCCCCTTTAGCCAGCTGTAAATCAGAGGTGACTGAAGGAAGAGTGGTATAAAGGGGTCTGACAAGCTGGAACTCTTCTATTATTGTGGTTGGCAAAGCTGGGGTGGGAGTGGGGGGAGCCTGCAACCCAGAGACCCAGTCTAAAATTGGTGGGTCTATGCAATCCCATCCAGGAGCAGTGCATTTGGGAGGGATTGCCAAGGGCTGAAAGCACAGCTCAGCCTGCCCCTGCACTGTGACCCCCACAGGAACTAGCTGCTTTATGAACTCAAAGCTGGATTCTACACAGCACGAACTCTGGTTTTGATCCAATAAAGCCCACATGAATATCATGGCTCAAGATCATACCAACTCTCACATGTTCACCCCAACTTCCAAGGGAGCAGTCTTAATTAACAAGGAAATACATGCAAAGTTCTCCGAGGCTGTGAACTGCTACTTTGCAAACATTTACCTGACCTTTTAGTTTCATTTTTCATCATTTTTTTCCTTCCATCAAACTGAGATCAGAAATAACTTACATGGACTTACCAAGGGACCTGTTCCACCCTGCAAAAAACCTACTGCGCGAGGGACATAAACACAGCATACTTTCAACATATTGTGCTTTTTAATACTCCACTAAGACTGGCTACCAAAAGCTATATTCATGTGGTCAAACCTGCTATGTAAGAAATAGCAGGTTCAGGATGCTAATCTACTTCGTCCAAAGTTAGCTTTAAAAAAGAGGTGTAAGTACAAAATTATCTATGTAGAGTTGTGGTTTGTATCACCTCCACGTACATTAACCTCACTGGCTAGCTAGACACGAGGCTACAGCCACATTCCTGCAGCCTGTCAGGTGAACTGCAGACTTGAAGGCCTGCAGCCCAGATGTAATCAGTAAAGCCTGCACTAGCACACCGCGTTAGCCTGTCTCACTCTGTTTCAGGGAGTTTCAAGCAAGCCGTACTGCAAAAACAACACAAACTGAAAAGAGCCCAGAGTAACAGATATTTTCCACAGGGCTGAATTTAATTTCAGACTTCTTGTAACCTTCTGCACCTGCAGTGTAATTCAGAAGAGAATCCAGATTGGTTAGCGGTACATGTATTTACATGTGAATAACAAAACTAGCTGCTGGGTAGGGGAGAATCAAGCCCAGAGTTGCTCCAGATTTATGTGAATACAACTGGGAGCAGATTCTGACCCTACATGTAGCTCATACTCTGAAAGTTTTAATACTAGCTGGTGGACTCCATTGTAAACTCTCAGTTTTCAGTTCTGAAAAGTTCTTGTGAAACTGCACCCATTAACTTAAGGAAAAGTTTCACAGCAAACTCCAACTGGGAATATCTCCATGCAGCATCTTAAAAATATATAATCAAAATTGTGGTGGAAAAGTCACAACTGGCAATTTGGCAATTAAAAATCCCCTACCTATCAGAACACTGAGCATTCACAAGAGCATGCCTTGCTCCAAGCAGGAAGCCTCCCCTTGAACTTCAGGTTATTCAAACCACAGATGCCTGCCTCTGTTTTCTACAGCACTTTCACTCGCTCACTTTTTTCCTTTTGTAACAAAGTGTGGTTCTTTTTGGCATCCCATCAGCCATCTTGCAAGCACCCTTCCAGTACAGGCACCAAGTTCTTAAGAGTCTTGTTTCGTATGGCTGACTTAGAGCAACAGTTGTAAGTCCACTTGAAGGTTAGTTAGCCAGTCTAATGCTCTTGAGGAAAGAGAATGTGCATCTGCAACGTCACGGTCAAATTTGTATAGATGACAGTGTTATGTCCATGTGCTAAAGTCACATTTTGCAGCACCCCTAATACACCATTTGTGCATCAAGTGACCACAACAACCATCAATAAGAATCATGTTTGTAAATTAAGAAAAAAAATACTGTGGGTCTGATTTGACTGTGACATGTGCCAAGACAAAAGTTGTAAAAGTAACCATAAATGAGCAAGACATTGCTACCACAAACTATTTTCTTTCACCACTAATCTACAGAAATTAAAGCAAGTAACTCATTTTGGAAAATATCAAAACAACATGCACAAATCAGAAGCTGCACCATCAACAGAAAATGCCAATTTTAGATCCTGACTGCAGTATTCAGTCACTGTGAAGTCCTTTCAGTACTCCAGCAGCACAATGCTTTAAACAAAGGTTTCCAAATATTCACACATGCAAATTACAAGCACAACACTAATAATCAGCACAAAGACACATACAACATAGTAAAACAACATAAAGCCTTGATCCATCAATGGGAGTTGCAATTCTAAGAGAGACAAACAAATGCGAGTTCCATCAGTGATGAACGTGGCTCACTTGAATCAAAGTAATTCACTCCTTTGTCAAGAGCAGAATGAGAATGATTTATTATTGCCGCAAAAAATCCAATAGACTTTCATGACTGAAAGACAATCCTTCTGCAAACAAGTGCTAATAAACACATCAGTTTTGTTCAACAAAACCACAACACATCCAAGCTGAGTTCCTGATACTCACCTGCTTGCCATTGAGGAAAGAAGTCTGGGGGAGACTCAGAAGCAACAGACTCCCCTTCGGGTACCTGAACTTTGTGCTAAACAATGTATTCTGCTTCCCCAAACGAGAGCAGAACATCAGCTTAGCAGGCACATAGGTTGAGCGTCTATGCAAAATCTTATAACCAAAACAGGAAAAGGAAGTTTTACAAAAAAGAAGAGCGTGAGAGAGCAGGAAATACACTTATTTAAATCCATTTTCATCATATTTGGATTAAATGAAACAGGTGTATGGATTAAGATTAGACCAGCTGGCATTTTCTTTATCGATAAAGTTATAATAGAAACATTTTATTACTTGGTATGAGCTCAATGACACAAAAAGTAACATGCAAAGGAATGACAGATATTCATTTGTTCCATGTTCTCACTGTGCTTGGACACTGAAGTCTTGCCTATGATGAGGACCAACTCTGATCTTGGCAGTCAGTGTCCCAGTTTAAACTATCACTCTAGGCAGGGAAAGCCAACATTTGCCTTGGTGGAGCTTACCTAAAGGTTCAAACAATATTCAGCAAAATATTCCAGTTGCTGAAAATCAGAGCCATCCCCAGTATATTGAAGGCAAGAAGTTTTGCTGCAAGGAGTTCCTACCCCAAGAAATGTATATTTAATGTATCCCTACTCATGCTGAATAGCACTTTTTTGGTATTGAGTAACTTGGTGCAGCCCTAGGTTACTCAATACCAAACAGCCCCAAATAGGAGACTGCAAACTTTGGAGATGACAAAGAAGGGTTCTCTGCCTTAACTCTACTTTAAAAGCCCTTATGGGCAGGGACAGAAGTTACACATAAACTGGCTTAATTGATCAGAAACCAGTTAAACCTGTAACAGAACAGAAGTTCAGTGCACTTAAATCTCTTAACAAAATGGACAAAAGCCGTTTAAGATAAACCTGGTTGGATGCAGTATCAGACTTAACTGATTTAGGTCAAGCTGGTTTATGGAATTTCTGTCCCAAACCCCTTCCCAGTTCAAGTTAACTCACAGTCCCCCAGCATCCCAGGATGCTTTGTAGCCCTGGACTCTGCTGTCTGCTCCAGAGGAGTAGGGTTGGCCTCACCCCTCTGCATCCAAGCCTGAGCACTATCACTGTTTTGGCTGGCTGTGGGGGGGCGAGTGGGAAACCTGGCTCTAAACCTCAGCCAGGTTCTGCCTGGTGGGGGCAGAGCAGCCCCTCCGTCTTTTCCCCTGCTCCATGCTCAAGCAGAGGGGCAAGGAGCATGGCCAGACGCTGTCCAGGCCAGTACACTGAGGCAGCGGGGGGGTTGGGAAGGGGTTGCTCTGGAGGAGAAGCAGCCCCTCCCACACTTCTACCCCCCACACTCTCTGCTGGAGGCAAAGACAGGGCAGCCCTTGCATGGGTTTTCTCCCTCACTTGAGTGGAGAGTGGGGGAGGCAGGGGGGGCATGCTCCCGCCTGGGGCTGACACGCTGTGGTGGGGAGGCAGGGCATTTAAACCCTCCCCCTGAGGCAGACCCAGGTTGCATTCCCATGCAGCCAGGAAGGGCCTCCCCACTTCATCCTGTGAGTCCCCGAACAGGGCATAGCATCCCACTCTCTGCTCAGCTGGGAGCAACATCTTGGCAGGGACTGCTTCCCCCTTGAGTGGGGAGTGGAGGACAGAAGCCTGGTGGGGGCTTTGCCCCCTAGGCAAACTGGGGCTGGGGTCCCATTCAGGCCAGGAAACAGGGTTTAAAGCCCCCCTTCCCCAGGCCTCAGTATGCTGGCCCCAGGTTGGGGCCTGGCTACCTCCTCTGTGCTCGAGCAGGTGGTGGGGAAAGTCTTGAAGGGCTTCTCTCCTCTCTCCGCTTTGGCAGTGGCTGGGAGGTGTACTCTGGCACTCCCCAATTTTTGGCCTGATGCACTGCAGGCCTGTGGCTACATTTCTGGAATCAAAAGTGAATGTCTGTTCACTTGCTAATTGGTTCAGTCTACACGGTTTAGAGTAACCTGGAAAGATTTAATCGATTCAGCCTCTGGCTTTTTGAATTTCTATACTTAGCCTAAGCCCTGAATTAAACCACCTTCAATTTGTAGGACAGAGTCTGTCTAGGTTAAATACCATTCCAAAGTTCATTCAGAAGCAAGGGTCCTTTATTTCCTAGCTACTGCTCTGGAAAATATGTCATCTTCTATTTCCTTCATACAGTTTGTTCTGCATAGTGTCTCACCTATTCTCTGTTAACTGAGTGTCAGGGGTAACTGCTGATCATTTCTAGAGACTACATGCTTTCTTTTCCACTGTGTGGTGCATATGAGCATACATACAAGCACATGTGTGTGCACGTGTGAACAGTGAGAATAAATTAAAAGTTACTTTTTTTTGTTGCCAATGCATCCTCCAGTTGACCTGTTCTGCTGCTATGTCTAACTAACACAGTGTGTCTTGGTATGAGAGGCAGAGAGACAGTCTAGTAGCAGTGAGAAAAGATTTTGAATCCTGAGAATTAAACCTCCCCCCCCGAGAAACTAAAGCTAGAAACAAGAACACGGAACCAAAAGAGAAGAATATTAAAGCCTGGTTATTTCAGTGCTACTTCTCCATGTGTGAAACTACAGTGTCAGCGATGAGCTGAACCGGTCAAGCTGATAGACTGGGTCATACAAGAAGAAACTAGCAGTAAAAACTCACTGGATCTCATTTCTCTCCTCAAGCCCTTGGTCTGAAAAGGCCTATGTATGTTGCAAATCATATCTGATACAAATTCTACCTCTTTAATCTTTTTCATAGGAAGTAGGCTTACTAGGGTGTGAATGGATTCACAGTAGGTGCAGAAGTTTATGCAAGATAGCCTTACTAGGGAGAACTGAGAAGATGAGATAAAATTGCAGGTAACATTATAGCAGGCTGGAAATTTAAGCTTTTAAAAAAAATTCATTAAAAAAAGTTTGATTTTTGGCAGTATGTTCAAAATTCTCATAGCAGTTCTAGATACATATTGCTTGTCGTCTCCAATTAGTCTAATACAGTGGTTCCCAACGTGGTGCCCATGGACACCATGGTGCCCCTCGAAGTTTATTCAGGTATCTGTGTGCATTTTCATGATCAGTAAAAATCATTAGTCCAACAAAAAATGCTGTCATATTGGTGCCTGCTGCTTTTTCTTTTAAATTTGAATGTGCCCTTTGGCACATAAACGTTGGGAATCCCTGGTCTAATACATACAAAGTCCAGAGTCCTGAAAATTAACTTTACAAAATGAAAATAACTGAAGAGCAAAAAATCAATGAAACTCCAGAGACTCTGGCTGCCCTTCTCATTCTTAGTCTCCAGGAGAAGAAATGAGCATGCATCAGAAAATGCTGTAAAATAAAACTGCTTCCCTTGAATTCATTTAGTCCTTTTTTTAAACATCATTCATTTAACATTTTGAACCAAATTGACTTTAAAACCCTCAGTTCTTTCCCCATGACATCATTTGAACTGGTTTGTAGTGTGTGTTCACAGTTAAATAAAGTGGGCTACGTGGGAGGTGATTCTCACCAGTCTTTGTATTATTGCAACATTCTGCTCGAATACCTGATAGAGCCTCTGCGCTGTCCCAAGATGATAAAGCATCTACTGCATCACATCGCTTAACCTGTGCCCAGTTCTCAGAATTACAAGTTTGGTGAGGTTAGTGAATTATTCTCCTGCCCTACCTTAACTTGCGTACGTATTTTGGTCATTCTCCCCACCTCCCCTGGATAAATCAGGCACTGTATCAAGATAACTTTACAAACTATCACTACAAATTGCACTGGTGTGCAAGGAACACAGCAATCATCCTTGACATGGCCACTGTGACAGCACGTAACTTTAGTACATGTAGTGCATGCAGGGCTGCTGTAGAAAGCAGACCAATCAGAAGGTGAAGTAGCCCCGGTTCTGTGCCTCTGCTAGCAGTCTGCGGTGCACACACATTGTTATTTTTATATTTGACAGATCAGGAATAGATAGATTTAAACAAGACCACTCATTTCAGTATGAGATGACAACTGCTTAGTGTGCAAATGCCTTAGTGCTGTATCTCCACATTAATACATAATGCTATGATTTCCATGTCCTTGCTTTGCTTGTGCTCTTAGTAATATATTATCTTCTTACATCCACATTTATAAAACATAGATGATTTTCATCCTCTCTGCTAATTATTACCAGCCTATGGGTAATAATCAGCCAACAAAAATAGTCTAGTCCTTTCACCATTCGTTCTCATCAGTATATAGTTTGTTTCATTTTCAAATTCTCTTGCAGTAATTGTCACAAGGCTGCAATACCTGGGTTGCAAACCCTGCAGGGAAATGTTTACATCCCAATAAAATACTGCTTTCATTCACATTTAAAAATGACTCATCAAAACATTCCTCTTCACATTAACTTTTATAACAATGCTATTTTCCTGAAGATCTAGGTTGAGCCTAGACCAGCGTTTCTCAGCCTGTGGGTTGTGACCTAAAAGTGGGTGGCAAGAATATATGAAAGGGTCATGAACAACCTTTAAAAAGGGATCAACAAACTTTAAAAACAGATCCTTTTTTAAAAGGAGAAAAACATGGGAAGCCATTGCATTTCCCTTGCAGGCTAGCAGAGTTCCAGCTACAAGGGGCTGCTTGGGGCCCCCTCTACCCCATTCCCTATGAGAAGAAGCTACGAGACCTGAACCTGTTCAGCCTCCGCAAGAGAAGGCTGAGGGGGGATCTAGTGGCTGTCTATAAACTGGCCAAGGGAGACCAGAAGGCAATGGGAGAGTCCCTGTTCCCCCGAGCACTACTGGGAGTAACAAGGAATAATGGCCATAAGTTGACTGAGAGTAGATTCAGGCTAGGTATCAGGAGGCACTACTTCACAGTCAGGGCAGCCAGGATCTGGAACCAACTTCCAAGGGAAGTGGTGCTTGCTCTTACCCTGGGGGTCTTCAAAAGGAGGCTAGAGAGACACCTTGCCAGGGTCGTTTGACCCCAGTACTCTTTCCTGCCCATTGCAGGGGGTCGGACTTGATGATCTGCTCAGGTCCCTTCTGACCTTACCTACTATGGAAATATGAAACTTCCAAGTTCTTCCTGGCATGAGAGCTCAGCAGGGAGATGTTCTTCCCTTGCTGGCTG